CCTGTTTGCCCAGCATTGCAGGGGTCACAAAAACACATAAAACCTCCCATAGACTTGGTAACTGAGAGGCAGCCTCAATTAAGAAACGTTCCTCTCTGTGAAATAATATAGAAAGAAGACAACAACTTATACCAAGTAGGAAAGGCAATATACTGGATGTATGCACACTGCCTGTCCAACAAAAAAAAAAGTCACCACCTGGATTTAGCTAAGCAAATAGCTCAGAGGCTTCCATTATATAATCGGTCTTGGTTCCGCATCATCCTCAAAAAATGACGTCAGCTGCCTACCTGAATATACTGAATGACCAGGCTTTTCCATCAATGGATTATTTCTTCCCTGATGGCACAGGCAATGGCGTCGCAGGGGGTGTGGCAGGTAAGCATGTGCAACGTCATCACACGCATGCATGTTGATGTTGTGCATGCGCAATGCCGTCCCGCATGTGTAATGACATCTTAGAGAGGTGTCACTTGGCGCCCCTGGGCACAGGCACATTCCAAGATGATAATGCCAGGAATCATTGAGCTCAAATTGTGAAAGAGTGGTTCAGGGAGCGTGAGACTTCATTCTCACACATGGATTGGCCACCACAGAGTCCAGACCTTAACCCCATTGAGAATCTTTGGGATGTGCTGGAGAAGACTTTACGCAGTGGTCCAACTCTCCCATCACTATAGGATCTTGGTGAAAAATTAATGCAACTCTGGACGGAAATAAATGTTGTGACATTATATAAGCTTATCAAAACGATGCCACGGCTAATGCGTACCATGATCAAAGCTGGTCCAATAAAATATTAGAGTGTTTGACTTTTTTTTGGACAGGCAGCATAGTTTCCTGTTGAACATTAAGAGGTCTATTCATAAAAGGGCGAAGAGTTTGGAGAAGGCCGGAGAAGTGAACAATCTAGGACAAAACAGTTGATTTGGAAAAATTCTCCAATTCAGCTCACTTTCCCGTTCAGTTATGTTGTCCTAGATTGTTCACTTCTCCCGCCTTCTCCAAACTCGTCACCCTTTTGTAAATAGACCCCTAAGTCTCCCTTCCTTCAAGTTCTTAAAGCTGACCATACTCTGGTAGATGTTAAAATGAATGTTCATGTGAAAAATGTTGTCAGAATATACCATAATCCCTTCAGAGACCTGACGAATGTTATTTGGAAATGTATTTTTGGAAATAAATCATTGTCTAGAACAAAAAACATATTTACTGTAAATTCTACTGGCGTAGGACCAGCTTAAGGGGACTTTAAAGGAAATCCCCATCCTTTCCCATCATTACCTAAAATGATGACTCTTGATCCGATCATCTTCTTCTTTCCTATAGTCTTCAGCTGTCCCCCAGCACTGGTGCCGGTCTCCAATCCAGCGCTGACTCCTCTCTCTTCCCAGGAATTCCTGTCCCACAGAGCCTGTGCAGGTGCACGCTGCCTCCATTGACCTGCCTTGTGTCTCTTCTCGTCTCCCGGCCAAAGATCTGAACTGCGTATGCGCCCGCCCCATGATCCTGTGCGGTCGCCTGAGAATCTTCAGAAGGGAGCGTGCGGCGGAGACACAGGTAAGTTTTAACCCTTTTGTGAACTTTTTAAAGAAAATGTTTTTGCATAATCCTACTGCTTGCTAGAAGTAGGTATATGCAAAAATTCGCGAGGGTTTAATAATCCTTTAAGTTTCTCCTCTAGTTCTTCTCTTCCGCTTCCCCCTAGGTAAAAGCCCAGCTTCATAATAGTCATTTCTAAAACCCACCTCAAACTATCAGGTCCCTTCTATGAAAATAACTTGTAATTGCTTCGATGTTTAATAGCAAACCCGCCCTGCTATGAACTTTTCATGATCGGTAAACAAGGATTCTAGAACAGATGTTCTGTACTTTCCTCACATATAATGTTAGAATTATACTGTATGTATACAATCAGGGTGGCCATTTTGCTGTGTTTAGAAGGATAACCTTGGCTGCTTTACATGAAAAAAAAAATCTGTTAACAGAGTTGAATAGCTCAAGCTCAAATTTACATGCACAATTAAATGAGTCAGCGGAGTGATCTGTCTTTCCTGCCTGCTCTGTCCAGACAGGGCTCAAATATCTCTCAATTAGATAGAGACAGTCTAAAGGCAGACAGATTCTGCTGTGCTCACTCCCAAAAACCCATAATGCTCTGTGACACCAATGCCATGTGTTCATGCTGTATTAAATGTTCATTTGTAAAAGTAACATTTTATATCAGCAGAAAATAAAAACATATAAAACAGAATTTGGATTCCACCTGTTGGGATTCCCACGTGTTGGGAAATATCCCATGTGTTCAGGATCACATACTGGATAGAGAGTTGGCATTGATAGCCATTTTCTGAAAAAGCTGATTGTCTGCTTGTTATTACCTACCATTGGCTTCACAGACCCACAACAAGTATGCAGACCCGTAAAGCCAGAAGTCCTTATCTGAAGGCGAGATGCTCATCGTGGCAACTAATATACTTAGGAGAGGTCAGCAATGACAGTTTAGATCAGGGGTAGCCAGGGCTCCGGCCCTCCAGTTGTGGTGGAACTACAAATCCCATGAGGCATTGCAAGATTCTAACAGCCACAGACATGACTCCCGGAGATGCATCATGGGATTTGTAGTGTCACCACAGCTGGAGGGCCGGAGTTTGGCTACCTCTGGTTTAGATGTTCCACTCATGATGAGGCTCCATAAAGCACCATTGATATTGACAACTTTGAGAACAATGTCAAGTCTTGCGTGTCTTTTAAATTATTCCACAGCACTTAAGTGGCATTATTACCTACAAAGAAGTTCACTTTTATTGAATGTCTGTGTTGATTTAGAGTAAAGGTGACATGCAAAAGCCACTTAATGTGGGGAGTGTCGTGGCTTCTATGAATTCCTTATAAAACTGTCAGAACAACTGGTAAACCAACTTTTCAGGTTACATGGCCCTCTCTCAGAGTCCTATGGACTCACAGGTTGCCTTTTGAACTAGTGATCTAAAACTCATTTAATGGAGCTGAGCTAGTAAAGACGATGGGATACAATAAGCAGGAAGAATGTGAAAGGTTAAATGACTAGAATGGGAGACTACAGAGGGATGTACAGGGAATGAATAGAGAGGTAGAAGGTGGAAGTGGGAAATGGAAGAGTTTCAGTCTGCCTTGCCAGTAGAGATGAGCCTGGGCTTAGTGCGAACCCAGTTTGCCAGAGTTCACCTAAACCCATTTAACACTATGACCGCCATTCCTGCCTCCTCGCTAGTGTTGCCACCTGTCCAGGATTCACCCGAACAGTCTGGGTTTTGAATGATGTGTCCGGGTTTCATGGCAGCAGAAACCCAGACACAAGATATCAGGCAGGCAGGGGCAACCAAAATTAAGACAGGGGCTACTAGCCGCACACTGAAAATATTCTCAACTGTGATATTTACATATGAATGGGCCGCACTATTTACATATGAATACGCCACGACTCAATCTCCCCAAAAAATGTCCGAGCATCGCTAGAGTGTTCAGGTTTCACTTGAAGAAAAGGTGGCAACCCTACGCCCTCGCCCCATCAGGCAGGCATTCCCCCTCTCTTTGCAGTGTATATCTGGGGGTGGGGAATGCACCTCTCCACAACTGTTTGGGCCACTTCCACCTTCTACCTCTCTATTCATTCCCTGTACTTCCCTCTCTAGTCTCGAATGCTAATCATTTAACCTTTTTGGGTTCGCACAAAGCTCAGGCTGATCACTACTTGCCAGCAGATGACAGGACATGGTGGAACTTCCACTTTACTTAAGGTCAAAGAAAATCAAATGCATTTTATAGATGTGGCTAGATATGTAAGTTTCGTTTTGTTCCAAATTGAAATTCGGACGAATATCGGCATATTCGTACATTAGAATGCATCCGAATTTTCGATAATGAAAATTTAAATAATAAAATGAACAGCATGGAGTCCCCTCCCTAATTCCTACCAGACCCTTTAGGTCTGGTAGGAATTTTAGGAGGGACTCCAACGCCCCACAAAAAGTGTGGAGTGCCCCCTAAAATTTCTTACCAGACCCTTGATCTGAGCAGCAGCCTGGCAGAGCAGGAATGGGGGGGGGGGGTGTAGCGTGTGTTCCCGCATCATACCAGGCCACATGCCCTCAACATGGGGGGGGGGGGGGCCTTGGCAGAGTACCTTGTCCTCATGTTGGTATGTTGATGAGGACAAGGGCCTCTTTCCTCAACCCTGGCCAGGTGGTTGTGGGGGTCTTCGGGCAGGGGGGCTTATCTGAATCTGCGTGCCCCTTTATGAAATTCCGCCCCCCTGTTGTTATCTGATGCTGACCCTGATTTCTCAAGCAGCAATAGCATGCAATAAGGCAACCTAAAGTGATCCTGTGACTAGGCTAAGGACATTTAAGTAATTAAGGTAAATCACCCTCAAAGGTCACAGCAGAACTCACCCTTCTATCCCTGACTTAGCAGCTTAGTGCACTCTACTTCCCCTTCCAACAAGGACTGAGCAGCTCAGCTCTCACTCTGCTGCCCCTCCCAACAGTGGCTGCTCAGCTTAGCTAACCCTGCTATCCCTGCCAGCTAACTCAGCAGCTCAGAACACCCTACATCCCCTTTAAGCAGTGACTGGGTTCTCGGGTTGCCCCCACCCCCACAGCAGTGACTCTCCCCCTGCTCACCCTCCTAGTAGCTCACCCCTTCCTATCTCCTTACAGTGAATTGGAAGCTTAATGTCAGAACATTTTACACAACTGACTATGCTTCTATGCTTAAAGTTTTATTTTCTTCAGTTTTTAGCTGCGATACCATTCAATGCAGCTTATCACAAGAAGCGATGACATTGTGCTCAGCATAACTACCGCACTGCAGGGGAACTGTTAATGTTTGAACTGCGTTGTAAAGCCAATGACATCACCTTATTGCTGATCCCAGAGATTAAAGCGGATGCTTATAAGGAGACGTGAACGAATATAGGTGACACATTCTCTCTGTGATTCTCTACAGGAGCCGAAGACCAGCATCCCTTCTACAATGGCCTTCTCAGGAACCTATGAGCTGGAGTCCCAGGAGAACTTCGAGACTTTCATGAAGGCCATCGGTAATGACAACTGGATCTTCATCTTTCCTTTTCACAGTTATTATTTGTACATTTTCATTATTCTGCATGAGAAATACAATAGACTGTAACACATGGGCTGGAACTCAGAGGTGTTTCGGGGTTTTTGTTTGGTTTTTGTTTGGTTGAGGCTGGTAAAGACACATGCTTTCAAGGTGCATTTATTATGTCTGTGAAGGTTCTCATTCATCCAGGTCACGGTATATCTGTAAAAAATAAGTCAAGGCAACTGGACTTGCTGTATTTTTCTTGAAGACGTTTCACTGCTCATCCAACCAGCTTTCTCAATTCAGAATTTTTGTACAGGTGATTCTGAATTGAGAAAGCTGGTTGGATGACCAGTGAAATGTCTTCCAGATAAATACAGTAAGTCCAGTTGCCTTGACTTTTTTTGCATTTATTATGCTTCTGCATTTGATTTGTTTTTTACAAGCTGTGCTTATTATATTGTATTATATTAATTACAATATATTATAATATTATATTTCAAAAGAAAGGAAATTGTTGAAAAGAAGATTGTAATGGCACGTTCACGATAGGTTCACACTGCATTGAATGCAGAAGAGCATCTATCAAAGTGTGTTTTATGGGCAGCGATCTGACCTTGGCAGCTATAGAAAACTAAAAACTGTCAGGGTCTGAACTATGCGGATTCAGTCCATTGCATGCCAACAATATGATCCCCAACCACAAAGCACACTTTCTACACCCGGCATTTGGCAAAGGTCAAACTGACCGGAGAACACAGTGGTGTGCATGGGCCCAAAACAAGCAGTGAGAAATAAACTGTTGCATGCGTGTGTATCCTGCATTACACAGAGCTATAGAATGTAAAATGTGCTTTGTCTCAGAAAAATATCACTGTATGAAAAAGAATATATAGAAAGAAAGAATCAGAATGTATAAGGGCACATGCAAATTGTGCCGATGTGCTGCCTTGCATTACCGCACTCACATTAGCAGGCAGGATTTTACATGTTAACATGTAAAGCTGTAAAGCAGCCCACGTATCACAATGCAGATTATTATTAAGCCTAACTCAAGGAAAACGTTTTCCCTTACAGTGGGGCTGCCCCTGCACTGCTATATTTAACTGCATGTTTTTGCCTACTTACCTGATCCCCACTCGTGCTGGCTCCCTTCCGGCCACTAGACTGGTCCCGGCGGCCACTTCTCCCCTTCACTCCAGTGGGCTAATGATGGCAGACCTCATCAAGTACAACAAAGGCTTCACAGCTGGTGTTTATTGTAAAACTAGCCCAACACTGAAAACCTTATGCATGGCAATACCTTTATTGCCTTTTCTCACAGAAAGGAATGGATCCCTACTGTCCCTTTTCTCAGAGGGAAGGGTTAGGCAGGTTAGAGATTTTACAATATCTCCATGTGCAATAAGTGTATTGGAAGTGCTCTTTACAGTCTCCTAGGGGTACAGTCTAATGGTGGAATGGGACAGTTATGGCCAACATAACTGAATGCAAAGTAAAATGAACTGCTCAGAATACCTCTGGAAAGTCCATAATGACGTTAAAGGTCGCCTCAAACTCCTTAAGATGCACCTGGTCAATGGATCTCGAAAGATTATTGTCTGGGCTTGATTTTTGGCTGATAGGCAGGGCTGGATTTCCCACAAGGCCAACCAAGGCCCGGCCTCAAGGGCAGCAGGGAGTAGAGGGCAGCAGGGGTGTGGAAATCCTATCTTCCAATGCCCGGGACATGCATTTCCTGGGCACCGGACATGTAGGGGGGCACATTGAGGAACCTGGGCTTGGGGCAGCAGAGAAAGTAAATCCGGCCCTGCTGATAGGATGTTGTTCCCGTGAAAATCATATACTACTTGTATGTGCCAGTTTTCTGAAATAAGAGAACATTGATGCTTTGATCTAGAAGAGGTTCTCCTGATAAAATTATAGTTTTGTTACTATAAACAGGCCCCTTCCATAAAAAAACAGTCCCCTTCCAAGGAAGACCCTCATTCCAAAGGGTCAGTTTGCCCATCAACAACACCTGAAGTTATTCAATCTGTATATTTTAAAGAGCCACACTCTGATGCCATAACTCCAATAAAAACAACTTTATTGATTCCAACCAGTTACCTCCCAGTCCCTTTCAAGGTCTGCTCTGCTCTAACATGTTTCACCTCCAGTGAATCCACTACATGATGCCTACAGAAAACTACATTGAAAATAATTGTATAAAACCCTGAGTGGTAAGCACCACACACCCCTGTTTAGTAGAATACAACAAAAGATAATGGGCTTTTAAAGGTGCTGAATGACAGAGCCAAAAATTATCTTTAACTCATAATTGTATAAAAAGTGTTTTTATTAGAACATGATTCAAATTGGTGAGACAAAAATATAGAAATTGTAACAGTATAACGTTCATATTCCGATTGTTTTTGATACATTGGATTTTACTCCGACAGACTAATAGAGTTGACCACTTTGTGTCTGTCAAGATGTTGATTCTTCTCTTTGTTGATAACTGGAGTGGTCTAAGTTCTACGTGTTTCACGCTTGATGCGCTTCTTCAGAAACTCAGTATAGGAGGAAATCACATTTAGGAAACAATCAGTGGACATGTACGGGCAGAACATCAAACCATAGGTCTCACATATGGGGAATAGATGGGCCCAACCAGATAGTAAGCTGCCCAAACCGAACAGGCCAAACAGCCTATAAAAGGAAAGATAGCAAGAAATCCCCTGTACTTTATCTCCAATGTCTACATATAACAAATGCAGGCTAACAGTCAGCCGTCCCGCTCCATCCCACTGCCGGTGTACCAAGGGGTGGATACAAGGCTAGTCACCCTGCACACAGAAAGAGAGCAGCACTGAGGGGTCTTTATTACAGTAAGTACTGGGCACAGGTCTGAAAGAAATAGACCAAGATATAGGTAAGAATGCACATGAGTCTTGTATGAGGACAATATTTGCTTATTGCAGAGTTCAACATTTAAATTGTAATGTGCAGGTGCTGAGAGATATCACTAGTCAACTTCATCCACACCTGTAGGCACGTTTGTGGTGCCTGAAGATCACATAATATCTGTATTGTTGCAGGCCTTCCAGATGAGATCATCGAGAAAGGAAAAGGTGTGAAGAGTGTGACAAAAATTGCGCAGACTGGCAATCACTTTGCGATCACGGTGACCACAGGACCCAAGGTCCTACATAATGAATTCAATATCGGCGAGGAGACTGAATTAGAATCATTGACTGAAGAGAAGATTAAGGTAAGGAAGATAAGCTGTATCTAAGGAGCCATTATGACTTTAGATTGATGTGGACAATTGCTATAATCCCAAGGGTAAATGCAGGATCTGCTGGAGCCTGGGCCAAAAAAAAAACAACAACTATTTTAATGGCTTTTACAAACTGTTTTACTACATTTCAAAATACTAAACTCTAAATTAAAGACCTACTGACTGGTAGACATGTGAGCTGTGGAAAAATTAATTTCAGTTCGGATATTTTGTGATTTCGGGGCTTGGATCCGAAATTTATTTCGGTTTGGGTTTCAGATTCGGACGAAATCTGAATTTGTTTTTTTTTTCGGATGAGTTTACGAATATTCGTTACGACTACCACAGAAAACCATATACACTGAGTGGCCAGATTATTATGACCACCCCATCAGTACTTCGTTGGGCCACGAGATGACTCCACGAGATGTTGAAAGGTGATGCGAGGAATCTGACATGGCACTGTTGCCCTTCTGTTGTCTTGTACCAGTCTTACCACTCTCCGTTCTGCCCTAACATTGACTAGTCGCTGACGGCCACAATTTGCACGTTCAGACCCAGATTTTCGGCTGACAGTCCGGTCTTTAAACACTTTAACAATGAGCATTTAATGAATTCTGCTGTTTTGCTGATACTCGCTCCATGGCTCTGAGCGCCAACAATCATCCCACGTTCAAAGGCTGTTAAATCGCGTTGTTTCCCCGTATCTTCAGAAACAAATCACTTCTACTGTCGTGGTAAACAACCTGCTTCCCTATTTATAATGGCCTGGCCCTCTAGCAACTTCAGCGCGAAAT